TCTCCGTAATTTGAAATTATGTGAGACTCAAGTAGCCATTTCGAGTTTCTTCTGATTCAATTACGTTTATATTTTTTAATACCATCACAGATGTTTAGTATTTTTCAATTAATCATGTTTTTATCTCTTCAAGCATATTTTCGAATTCGAGAAACATGCAAGAAAAGTATTGTTAGTGTTTGAGGTTTATAGTTTACTTAATTATTCGATCTCATCTTATACAATTTTGTTAGTCTGCAGGTATCTTTAATCCATATGTAACTCTACAAATTAGTAATAGCTTTTTTAATAGATATTTCGTAGTCTCAAGTTTATTCTAAAATTTTCTTTTCCTAAATTTAGTTTAGTAACAGCTTCAGTGATTTTATCAGCTGCTTTTACAATTGCATTGCTTAGATATTAACAAAGAGCATCTCCACACATCTTAAACAGCAAATCTTGTTTCGATTCTCAAACTACTATTACAATTTCCACAATCCATTCTAATTAGAACATATACACTCGCAATGATTTTCTTCTACTTTCCTGAAACTCAAAAGTATTCCAGAAAAATGGTCACTAAACGCTAAACGAGCGTAATAACACTCGAAAACTGAAAACCTTATTGAGTCCAAAAGGAACCCGAGGAACGCGGTAGGGTCAAACGACGCGTTACAATTCAGTTTTCCCAAGTTTTTTCCGGCGCTCGTTAATTTCTCTTTGCGCTTGATATTCAGTTGGTCATTGAACGGCTGGGAAAGCCCCGTTCCACGCGGAATAGAAAGTACACGTTGGCCGGGGAAAGAAATTGACGACGTGGAAGACAGAGGGAAGAGGAGCCGATGGAATAAGGGCACGTTCCCCGGAAGTGGTGTTTCGAGAATGCTGCGAGAGTAGAAATAGCTGGCGTTAGGGCGGAGTAAAACAAAAGTCTCGTCTGGTTTATCAATACCGCGGCTGGGGGAAGGTGGATTCGCGGCGGAACCGGTTTCAGAGAGGACCGGATGGATTAAAGGTTTGCACACGTGAGGGTTTTAACGATCGACAATGTCGCGTAAAGACTAACACGGTGACAATACACCCACATAATACTACAGTTATGTACACCTCGTTCTGTTTGCACACGACAGATGTGGTCCGCGTAAAAAAATATACCGTACTCACAGGGAAATAGATTGGTTCCAAACGTAAGAAATCGAATCGAATGATACGATAAATTATATGAAAATTCGTGCTAGAATGTAGGTGATTGTATCAAATCAAATCGGAAGAAAATAAATTCTTTTCTGATTCCTGTTTAAGTCGGAATTGTGTAGAAGACATTCGTGTAAAAACAGAAAAGAGGAAACTCCGACTTTAGCGGAAAATTGAAATCTAGAAAAAAGAAATTCGGTGGATTTTTACTACACTTAATATTTGAGGTAACAAAGCTGCAAGTGAAAGATACATCAAAGTTAAGATTAAGAAGACTTATTTGAGAACTATTAATTTTTCGTGTGAAATTTTTTGCAAGTGGTATGTTTCGTGGGTTACATTGGTCTCTTTGAAAATAGAACATTATTATCTGAGCAAATACACCAGCATTTTTCTGACACTCGAATGCAAATGAGATGTTATCTTGGATAGAATTAAATTTTGAAGTTTCAGTTACATTATATTTATTACAATATATATTTTATATGTTTAATTGAAAATAACTAATATTTGAATTTAATGTGTTTATTGGAAATAGATAAATCTGAAGCCACTGATTTAGTTTTATTGAAATTTTGAAACAGTTCCGAATATAATCCTTACGAATTGTTATATGTTGGTTTACACAAAAATTGTTATGAGAAGGAATATTCGTAACTGTTATAGAGATGTATCAGTTTTGCTGCATACGGGTATCGGTTTCAGTTTTGTTTCTTTATAATTTATATTATTTCAGCTTCGTGCTGTTATTTTTATTTTTGTATTGGTCCTGCGTTCTCTGGCTGTTATTTTTACTCCTATATCAGATATGGTTCAGTTCTACGTTGTAATCGGCAACGCAAAGTCGAAAAATAACTCTTGCAGAAAACAAAATAATATTAGAAATATTTTTGAACACACAAATCGAAATTGATAATAGGTTAAGACCAATATATCCATACCTAATTTCCATTATTTCTGTACATTATTTTCATATCTTATTATTCTCAATTAACACAAGAAAAATGGTTATTATCAACGTTTGTATCTGTTCAAGGTATTCCTCATATTTCATTAGGCACGGTATTAAATATTTGTAAATATTAATCGATCACTACTGTCTGCTTTACGAATGTCTTTTATATAGATAATGGTAATATGTAAAATTCAACTAATCGAAGTTCTATAAAATTTCGTTGCGGACTCTGCGATGAATATTAAAAACTCCGATTTTATTGAGTACCTCTTTCAGTTCAATAAAATATTCACTTAACTTTAAACATTTTAATCTTCATTAAAAATATATCACATTTGCAATTTTCTTCCTAACGAAATCAATAGTTATTGTCAAATTGTTAAAATTTTGAATGTCACTGTTCTTAGAGTGACTGAGAAAATTAAAGAAATTAAAAATATATTGTTCTTTTATTATTAAATTCAACAGACTTCTTATTAAAATATATAGTTTTATTTACTTCGATTTCACTTCGTTTCGAATAGATACGTAAAAATCTTTACGCGAAAAACGAGGGGTCAGTTATGAATAATCCATTTCACCTTAAGAGAGAAATATATAGAAATGTAATTTCACTGTAATTTCAGACTGAAAAGTAATTTCGCATTGCAAATATGTTCAGGAATACTGATAGAAATACGTGTCTCCTTGTTTGTGACACGTATCAGAACAGGCGAAGGCTTTTGAAGTGTTTGCAGAGTACCCAGCTTTCAAGGAAATTTTCAATCGTTCGATTGATGAAAATCAAGCTTTTATCTTTCGATATCGCTTCACCGGGAACAGCCTCGGATACGAGGAAAATTCATAGAACATTCGTATAGGAAATATGGAAGAAAATAATGGTCTTGTAGAGAGGAAAATCTGTGGTAAATTGGAATCGAGCGATCAGCTTCGCCAACTCTCTTGAAACAGCTACATATACCTCTGTGAATGCACACGTACATGCAGACCATAATTCGAAGTTATAAGAAATCCTCTTCAAACATGTTTTTCCTTTTAGACTCGCTACATTCGAATGAACTTCATTAAATTTAAAGGAGAAATACTTCAAATTTTCTTTTACATGTTACATACTGTGCATCAAATAATCCACAACATGGTTTTCTTGAATACCATGAACCATTTCGAGTGTATTAATCCTTATGTCATAAAACTTATTCTTTTGATTATTGTGAAAATATCTAAAACTGTTAGTGGTTTTATTAAAACATAATAGAACTTAGGATATTTCACTCGTACAATATTTCGACAAATTATAATCAGGCTAACTGCTTAATAATTATTTGTTTTCTTACGATACATCTTTTTGAGTTAGTCATGATTTAAGTACTCATAAATGTTCAACTGCTTAAATATTTAACTTCAAGGAATATTATAAAGTTACATATATTTTTAAGATATATATTAATTACAAAATTTATATACGTTAAAAATGCACACGAAACGCAAGGAACATTTTTTCATAATATGATAATATACTCAAGTTCAAGTATACACTCCATTCAGATTAGATCAGCTATAACATTTTTACTAATAACTTGAAGCTAGTAGTTTCATCCAATTTGTGCGATTAGGAGCATAACATTCTTCGCGTTATGTATTCTAAAAGAGTCGTTATGTTAGTATAATGTTTCACATAAGCTTACAATTAGAATTGAATTACCTTCCATTATAAAACTGTAATATATGCAGGCAGCAATGGTGCTTAACGTAAGCTTCGGAGATAATGGGTCTTCCCTCGCTACACCTCTGTTTCTTCATACTCTATCTTCATAAGATGACACAATACTTCTGAGTACCTCGTGCAGACACAATATGACATGTACAGAATACATACTCATGTGAAAAACGCCATTTTACATAGCTACGGAAAACTATTTTCCTCTGATGTATATTTTCTTGATATATTATTTCATCATCTCTTCTTTCTATCGAAGATTTTTAAGTTAAAATATTAAGTATCTTATAATTTGAACGTCGATTGGAAATATTTATCTAATTTCTTCAGTTGAATCTGAGAAATTACTAGTGCCTTACTTAATAGAAGATTACATGAATATTTAATAGAAAGTTGGATAATAAATTTTTCTATTTAATACAGATTACTACCGTCTATCAATTATATATGCTACAGATATTAACATCTTTAGTTTTGTCGTAGCAATAATTTTCTACAATGTTCTACATACAAAACGCACAAAACATCTACTAATCCAACTAAATGAGATTGCTAGGATTGTTGGTTATTATGTCTAGTTGTCAAGTGTCTAGTATCATAGGTTAATACATCAGTGTGAGCCAAATCTACCTTACACCCAATTCAGGTCATCATCTTTAACTGAGGATATAATCCACTCTAGCCTATTGATCAAATAAAACTAATTCTTTTAAACCTTGAAACTTCCTACATAGAAAACGTACGAGTCATCTACAAATCCAACTGAATCAAATTTCTAGGAGCGTCAGTTCTCGTGTCTTCGTCACCTTTGACTGACCAGGTCCACCTTATCGATAAAATCAAACTACTTCTAAACCCTTTAAAACGTTCTGCATACAAAACGCACGAAACACCTACAAATCCAACTAAGAGAGATTGCTAAGATCGTCGGTTATCATGTCTAGTTCCCAAGTGTCTAGAATCATGAGTTAGTACATCAAAGCGAGCCAAGCCCACCCTATGCCCGATCTATATTGGAACTTTCCACATAGAAAACTCACGAATGAAATTTCCAAAAGCGTCAATTCTCGTGTCTAGTCGTTGAGTGTCTAGAGCCGTAGGTTCAACGATCAGGGTGAGACAGGTCCGCCTTGTCTCACCCTGTACCCAATTTAGGTGCACGTTAGGTCCCGGCCGGGGGTCAGCTCGCTTAGTCTAGGGGCCGTGACGTGGGAGTGACGATGGACACGCTTGAAGAGTGTCCCGCGACAGAGACGAGGAACGTGGCGACGGTTGTGGACCGCGTGAGGATGCAGTGATCGAAGTGCGCTGAAGGCAGAGAGCGGGACCGACGGGGAGGACGATGCATCACTCCGGTGGTACTGGTTACGGGACCGGGCCCCAGGAGCGAGTGCACCAAGCGCCGCGAACTGCCGGCCAACCTGACAAGTGTCCCTACGAGACCTACCCGGCGCAGATACCGGATTGCTGCGCCGCAGCGGCCGCGGTGCAGGATCCGTATCCACGACCGCCGAGCGGATATGACGGCAGGTGCTACGACGAGTGTCATCGCAGGACTCCCTATCAGGAGGACACCTATACCCAGGTACGTGACGCGACTTTCCTATTTCTCAATTTCTACCCGCCTCTTCGCCGTCTCGTTTCCCGGACAAGGTATATCCGGTGGAATTGCATCGGTTGCATTCTTTCGGGTAACATTATCGGGGAGACGGCGCATTCTTCGGATTTCCACGAATAAACATCTGCGCGGTGTAATTAACGAGCTCTCGTTGAACGAATAACTTCGTTCGGTTGTAATTAGTATTTGTAACTGTCAATGGTAAATTATTTTGTATAGAGGTTTGAATGATCTTTTGTATATTCGAATAATTAACTTTTGAAATTCGTTCTTTTTGTTCGCTTACTTTACTTCTTTGATTGTAAACGGAAGTTACGTTTGTTTGAGATTAAGATATATTTACCAGTTCGAGTGACTTATGCGTATGTGTCAGTATTTATTCGAGTGATTCATATTGATCTGTTTGAATGATTGATAGCGACAATTCATCGGTATTTACTCGAATAATTTATTTCAACATTAATGCAAATCATGTTAAAGGAATATTTATGGATTTGGCTATTTCATTATGCATTGATGGTTAATTTATCAAAGGTGGTTCCACCGATTCTATTATACTCTGTATAAATATGCTCTGATTTGAAAAATTGTTGTATGTCTCACATTTAGTATAGAAGCTACAACGATAAATAATAGATAACGGATATAATTCAGCTTCTTTTTATTACATTTATTCATTTGCTTCTCGGCGCAACAAATATAACGGATTTTAACGCACGAACGGAGTTCCCGAGATTCCCTTTCCCCGCGCACGGTTAATATCGTGTCCCGATCCGCGCGCTAATTAAATTTAATTTAGGCTTGAGGTGTGTGCAGGTTTCTTTAATTGCTCAATAGAATTGAACGAGTCCGTAGCCCCCTGAACGAGCTCGCTCCTCGATCCTGATATTTATGTTTATTGTTCATTGAAAATTAAATTTCACGTTACCGCGAAAGGAGGAGGTTAATTAGTGCTAAGAAGGGAAACTTTAAGCTGCTGATGATTCAGCAGGAAACTTTGTTCGATAGTCTGACGCCAGCAATATGAGCCATTTCAGCTTAACTAATTCTAAGACCTCATGTTACGCAGAGTTGCTGCAACATTAAAGACTTACATCGACCCCCCGGGCACCGATTAGTATCCTTAAAACGATTATAATTAGAGGCGTTAATTAAACTTTCATACTTAATATGGAGGCGACGCTATTTAATCCGCGAGCCCGGTTAATTTGCTAAATATTATTTATCATACCGGTGGATTGCGTTAAGCGGGAAACCTTGTTTTCGGGTAATTACAGATTACTTAAGAAAAAAGTGTAAAATATGCGTCGCTAAGAAGGTGGCAATTATCGGACGTTAACAGGAACCATTGGGAATGAATAAGTGAAATAGTCATTTTTCAATAATACTTAACATGCCACAACACTTTTACACAATTCGGTTAACGAAATTTTATTAAAAGTTAAATGTTAAGAAATATAAAATGGGGAGATTTATTTTACAGAAACCAGTAAAAAGATAAAGGAATTGAAAAATTCGATACTACAATCAAATAATTTAATTATTACAACGTTACACATATTTAACATTACATTTTATTATACATATATAACATAATACCATAATTTACGTCGTATACAAATTCAATCTGGATATTTTTGAAACGTAAAAAAATTTGAGGATACACCAAAATATAGTTGTATTATATAATAGTAATGATCATTCTGGGATAAGATGATTACTTTACACTGCAATACAATCGAAACTCTGTAGAAACATCTAACGATGAAAACTAATTGAATTCCAACTTATCCGATTGTATTACATTTAATAGATTGAATAATTGTTGCACAGTATTTTTTTCCATTCGGTGAAACGAACTCGAGCCGCCCTCGTGTAACTTTCAAACGAACCGATTACGAACGTTCGTTGCAACTGATTTTCAAAATAAAGCTTTATTCGATGGTCCCCGGCGCGGCGGACTCCGTGCGATATTTTTTCCTCCTTCCCTTTCCTCCTTTCGACGACCGCGATGCGCTATCTCCCTTTCAATGAAACCTCGTCCCCTTTTGAAATTCCTGGTTATGCATGCGCGTAGCCGAGTTTCTTTGATCCTCGTTTCAGCGAGCATTACTACTCGCACATATCGTTGCATCTAAAATTAACGATATACACGCGTTTCTTTACGTTTGAGCCGGGAATATTAACGCGGATGCATTCCGTCGAACACGTCATTGCCTTAAACTATTCTCGGTGTTACGCGGTTTCGCCGTACGCCTGGGCTCCTCGGCTCGGTTACCTTTGCGCATACTTGAAGTCATTGCGCTTCCATTAAATTAATAACGGCTATAAATGCAACAGCTTCGAACGAACACTTTCGATTCGTGGATTTAATGTTAGTAACACTTTGCATTCGACTTTCAACCGCCAGCTTCTTAGATGCAGTAAAAATATAAAATTTGATATTCATTGCTAAAATTTTACGTAATGTACTAATGCGCTGAATATTGAAATCATATATATCTCATGATTGAAGCATATTTTATATTACTTGTAAAAAGTGTAATCTATATTACGTGAATAATGTGAATAAATGTTTATGGTGGATAGCTTACAAATGGTTAAAACTTCTGGGTAAATTTTGCATGATACGATTTGTTTAACCGAAATAATATTATTATACTTTTAATGATTTAAACATATATTTTTAATTGCATCTAATGAAAATGAATTAAAAACTTTATTTAATTCGGTTAATATGAATATTGCTAATTTTCTAAATATGTGATCATTATTTTAATATCCATATTTAATTATTTGCACTCAAATATTTGAATGTTAAATACAAATATCTTAATGTCACGTTTGCAATGTTCTCTTAAAGGCGACCGTCTAGTGCAAAGGGTTAATATTGGGAGGAAATTGGGACTTGGAGTGGAAGTAGTAAATTATTAACGATAAAATGGTTCTGATGAGCATATTGGCTAATGAAGTTGTCACTAGAAGTTAATTAATTAAATTTTGTGTAAAACTCTTGGTAACGTGTAGAATTAATTAAAAGATACTTCATTAAAATTATTAAATTTGAATACAGGATAACGCGACTCTCAAAGCATAAGCATTATCACTCTTTAATCAAGATTTTCATGTATTTAGTATTTCGTTTTTAATTTTTTCCGATGCTACCAATATCACATAAGAATATTCGTAAGATCGAAATCATCAGCTTTAAAATTTATAAGTTTGACATTTGGTTGATGAGCACACTGCCAGATGGCGACAACAGCTACCATTCTTAATTTCCAAGGGGTTTTGTAAATTACGTAAATTTATATCCTCCGAAAGAAATTTGGACAAACGGAGATCAAGAAAAGTGTAATTTTCTCTTATTAGTCGCAGTATATTGAAACTTAAAAAAAAATGCATTACTTTTCAGTAATCTTTATATTCTACAAGCTTTTAAACATTTATGCTGCAAATGCACGAAGATTCAATCATCCTACGCGTCATTAACAAACTGAAATAATTAAAAGAAAAATATTCGTTTCTTACGGCTAATTCGACTTCGCACGATTGCAACTTCCCGGTCCTCTCGACCGATACAATTATCCAATGTCCACAGTACTCGCAGTATTCGCTATCCGGAACCATGATTCAGAACAATCGCCCGCCTAGAAAACATTCGATCCGCCGTCCGCCGCCCGAACAGGCAGAAATATTTCTATTTCACGAGCGGGATCGTCAGTTAAGGCGCCGTTGTCCCCCGGAGGCGATGCCTGAATATGTGTCATTAACGATAATGATCGCGGCGAACTGTAATAACACTATCTATATCTACGTCGGAGGCAATTCAAGCCCCGGCTATCGAGGGCCCGTTCATCTGGCGGAAAGTACTACCAGCGATCAGGAATCGCGGAGTTTCGCTCGGCCAGGGGTTC